TCCTTCCTTCCTTCCTTCCTTCCTTCCTTCCTTCCTTCCTTCCTTCCTTCCTTGTTTATCCCTTGACTTTTCTGCTACTAAGATACTGTTCTTTAAAGGATCAGGAAGCTGACTCTCCGTTTTGAAGTATGCACATGAAAAACTCCCTGGGAAGAAGAAATTATAACTGGCTTAAAGCAAACCTAGTCTTCATAAAGAAATTTTCTTGGAGACATGTTGTAGTCAGAATTAGCTGGGCCTAGTTTACCTTTGGTCATTTCTCATCATCTGTCTTGAATTTCCATCCCGGGGCGAAACAGTCATGGATCATCTGTATATAAGGGAAGCCCATTTATAAGTAACATTTGGTTTGTATCAAAACAACAGTAACAACAACAACAACAATAACAAACAAATGCCCTTCGGTCCTCTTTCCTAGAATTTCTTATCATTTGCTAATACCTTAAAATCTATTCATACCTGTTTTAGTGATTGGCAATGCTAAAACTCCCTCAAGTAAAATGAAGACTTTGCATACAGAAACAAGGTGATCCGCCCAGAAAGAACTGTGTGTCCCTTTGTTTTACATCTTCCATGGTCTTTACCATCTTCATTTCTCCCTTCTGAGAACAGCAGCCACTGATGGCCAAAGTTTGTCTTAAATTTTATTAGAAAGGTAAGCATGTATGTTTAATCTTCAAGGTGTAGGAAAGATGATGCAGCCCCATGAATAAATTTAAAAACAAAATAATATTTGCTTTGGGTGATTTATAAATAAATATGAGGCAACCATTGGTGCCAAGTGTGAACCTTCTCTTTGATTGCTAGTTAAATCAGTCCAGATTTAAACATGTAAACTTCTTGATTTGTATGGAGGAAGACATCTGTATTTGGTTTATTAAAACCTGCTGATGTCTCCAGAACTAAATTTGTTCCTATATAGGCCTCTGAGTAGCTGTAGCTAAAAAGCAGAGATGTATAGTTTTTGCCTGTCTGATTACCTGACTTCCAGCCCTGTACAGGTGTGCAGGAATAAATTAACATGAGCTACCTCTGATGAGCCACTGCATACATTAACGACAGAGGTGAAGATGCGAAAACGTGCTACCTGCCTCCTGTTATCACCTTCTCAGTGGCAACATCCATTTTTTTCATCATTCTCTATGTTTGGAAACTTAGAACTTTTCTAAAGAGAGATTTTCAATAAATGCTCATGATTTCACTACCTTCAAGAAATGAGCCACTTAGCACCAGTTTGAGGTAACTATTAGTATATTTGCCTTCATATAATTAGCCGTCAAATACAGCGTGTTAATTTTCTTCAAGTATAAGAAGAGAACATTTTAAGGCATTTCATTTCCTATAAGTTTGCCAATCAAACTGAAACTCTCCTTTTCCAAAAATCTTATAT